AGTGTAGAAAGAAACTGTACTGTGGAGGAGATACATTTTGGGGTATAGAGTAATTACAATTCGGGTAATTGTACGTAAAAATATAAGTTTGTTGGTTCAGTGTAAGTTTAGGGCAACAAATCATTGTTTTTGGTGTTTCTGATTATTATGTTATATTTCTAGTATTGAATGGTTTGAACATGTGATCTGTCAATGTGGACTGTTTTAAAAACAGTTTTTATCAGTCTAGGCCAGAAAAAAACATTTTATGGATGACTTGAACTATTTACAAGCAGTTTGATAAAATTAGAGCAAGAGATAGATTTAATTGGTTAGCACTAGCTTGATTCAGTAAAAATATATTCTAAATCAATCAAACATTCTATGAGGCAGTGAGAACCTGCTTTTCCAGATGTGAACTTAGAGCTAGCTAAAAGCAGTCTGAAGCAATTTGAGCTATTAAAACCAGACCTACTTTGGAACAGCCTAGATGGATCTGGAGAATATTATGCTAAGTGAAATAAACCAAACAGAGAAAGACAAATATTACATGATTTCACTTATTTGTGGAATCTAATGAGCAAAATGAATTGACCAATAAAATAAGACCTGAATCATGGAGACATGGAGCAGATTGACATACTTTGATGTGGGAGTAGGGGATAAATGGAAGATATCTATAATGCTATCAACAATAAAAAATATACACTAAAAAAAACCCACACAGGCCCAAATAGCCCTGGCTGATATGGCTCTGTGGTTAGAGCATCGGCCTGTACACAAAAGGGTTGTGGTTTAATTCCCGGTGAAGGGCATGTACCTGGCTTGCAGGTTTGATCCTGGCTCTGGTCTGTATATGTGCAAGAGGCAACCAATTGATGTGAGAGAGACACAACGATGTTTCTCTCTCTCTCTCTCAAAAAAAAAAAAAAAAAAAATCAATGGAAAAATATCCTTGAGTGAGAATTAACAAAAAACAAAACAAACAAAACCCAGACCCAAATAATTAAATGCCTGGGTTTAGCCAGGGTGGTTTTAGATCAATCAGAGATGGTTTCTTTACTCAACTCTTTCATGCTGAACTAGCAGAACCATTCAAATTCTTTTGAACAAGTATGAGTTTGTCAGAACAAATTGCTGTGTTTCATACAAATCTGAATCAGCTTAAAAGTAGATTCAGATTTTATGAAACACAGCAATCTGTTGTTTCATAACTTTTGAAATTAACGTATCTTTTCAAAGTGAATTGAAAATCATTTGAACCTGCCAAAAGTAGTTTGAAAGTGATCCTTGTCGACTCAGCAAACTATTCTGAGCCAGTCAGCAGCCATTTGTGCTATACATATGTATTTTGAGCTCTGACCAGTGTGGCTCAGTTGGTTGAGCATCATCCTATGTACTGAAAGGTTGCTGGTTCAATTACAGGTCATGGTTCCTTGAATTCTTTCTTTCTACAACAATAAAATAAAAACAATTAAAAGTAGTACTAAATATATGTTTCGAGCTTCCCAGTGGCAATTTCAGAAATTGTTCTAGGTCTTCAGAGTCAGTCTGCTCTGTGCACAATGGAGAGAAAGGAATAAACTAATGTTTACTGAGTACCCAGGATATGCCAAGCATTGTGCTGGGCACTCCACAAAGTATCCCATTCACCCTGGCCGGCATCACTCAGTGGCTTAGTGTTGACCTATGAACCAGGAAGTCATGGTTCAATTCCTGTCAGGGCACTTGCCCGGGTTGCAGGTTCAATCCCCAGTAAGGGGCATGCAGGCGGCAGCTGATCAATGATTCTCTCTTATCATTGATGTTTCTATCTCTCCCTCTGAAATCAATAAAAATATATTCTTTGAAAAAGAGTATCCCATTTAATCCTTAGAACAATGTCTTGAGATAGTGCACATTGTCTTCTTTTTCATAGAATAGAAACATGAAATACAAGGCTTAAAGCCCCTGAGTGTGGGTAGATGGCATGTGAGAAACATGGGGACTCAACCCAGCTCTGCTTTTTTGTTGTTAATCCTCACCCGAGAATATTTTTCCATTGATTATCAGAGAGAGTGGAAGTGAGAGGGAGAGACACACAGAGAGAGAAGGATTGACATGAGGGAGACACATGAATAGAACTGATTAGAACCACAGACCCTTTAGTCTGCAAGCCAGTGCTCTAACAACTGAGCCAAACCTGCTGGGGGTTATATCTAGTTGGTTTTAAGTCCAACATGCATTTGTAAAAACGTGAGTGATGGACACAAAGTTTGGGCTACAATGGACACTGGTTGTCAAATGCATTTACCTTTCTGGGTTCTATTTATCCTTCAGAAAACTGAGCCCAGAGAATGAAAGGTCTGAGCATTTATTTTCAGATAAAGCAGATCATTGTCTAAAGGTACAGTCTGAAGAACGTAAACTGTGATGAATTTTGACAGTGGTATTTCTATACCTTCGGTTATAGTATTTGGTTTGTTAACACTTCCTTTATGGGCGATTAGTTTAGGAACAAACTTATGTATTGCTATCAGCATGAATAGAAAACAGAACCCATGAAGATAATCTGTAGACTTACATGTGTGATTCTTCCCCCATGATACCATTAACTTTTGGTGCAACAGAGATAGTTTCAACTGTCTTTACATTCCACTCAAGTGGGTTTAGAGAATTCTAGAATAGTGATGCCATTGGTGACAACATTTTCTTTTGTACCTTAAATGATGTAAAACATACTTTTAGGAATGACCAACTTTTTTTTCCTTCAAATTAAATGTAAAGAGGAAATAAGGCAGCCACAGTGTCTTCTTGCATCACTGTCATTGCAGAATTTGGAGTTGCTTTCTGCTTCTTCATTCATTTTGAGGGGGACCCCCAAAACGATAAACATTAACTGGATCTACTTTAAATTCTTAGCTCTTATTTCTGAATAACTTGGAGTGTAGTGAGATGCTGCGATATGATACACTAGAATATTTATTTGTACCCAAGTGGTCATCTTTTGGAGAATGATTATATACCATTAATACTGGCAGCCTACACCTGTGAATACAGAAGCTACAACATAGGAAAGCCATCATCTGTAAAATGTCATTCTTTATAGTGTGCAAACAGAATTATGAATGTTTGTAGAGGCTCTGCCCTTATCAACCGACCAGCCGTATCTGAATGTGAAGTTAGTCTGCCTTCAGACACTCTGAGGAAGTACATGGAGTGGCCCTTGGGTCTCAGCAATCAGGATTTTTTAGCATAAAGTGAGTCACCAAATTGAGGATGGGGTTGGGGTGGCAACCTTCTTGCCTGCGTTTTTATTAATTTTATGGATCTATGGAAATAATTCTATGAGAACTGTGGTAAAGGTTCTGGGTATGGGGCTGGGTGAAAGGAGATGATGAGAGGAAAATTAGCAGCATCTAAGGTAGGGAATCTGATATGTGTGTGGATGGGGGAATATGTATGTTTGAGTGGGCAAGTAGAATTGTCAGTGGTAAAGGGAGAGATGATTATTTTTCTAATTTTTAGGAGATTTCTTAGGATTATAAATGGGAGGGAAAGAGAAGCCTTCTTGGGAGAAAGACTACATTTTTAAACAGATTGAAATTTTGAATAGTTTTAATCTATTTAGAGAAAATTAAAAAAAATCATGAAAAGTGCCGATTGCAAAGAATAAAAAATAAGCATCATTAGGTCTTGTTGGTAAAAATAATTTTCCTTCTCTAAAGTGGACTTTAGTGTTAGACAACATCAAAGAGCTGAATAGGTAGCATTTCTTGTTAGAATATCAAGGCAAGAAGAGGTAAATGAGCACTTCGCGGTGAATTATGGTCTCTGCAGTTTCTACTCAGATCTAAACTCAGTTTCCAAGTTAGCAGTGAGAGTCCAGAAAAGTCTGATTTAATATGTGTCATGTAATAATGATAATAATAATGAAGCTGCAAGCCAAATGTTTCCTGCTAATTTAGCATTGTCTTTGAAGGGACTGAATGGCCTGGGAAAAGGAATAGGGTAAGTGAAATTGCCTAGATGTCCAAGTAAAAGGCGAGAAAAGCCAAGGATCCAGCACTAGGAGACTTTGAAAAAAAAGTAGAGGTGGAGGAGGATTTGGAACCACTTGTTATTATTCCTGTAACCTCTCTCTCTCTCTCTCTCTCTCTCTCTCTCTCTCTCTCTCTCTCTCTCTCGCTCTCTCTCGCTCTCTCTCTCTCTCTCTCTCTCTCTCTCTCTTTCTTGTTAATTTTTGTTCAATTGATCTGCATATAAGACTTAATGACCATTACTTTTTTGATTATCATTCTCACTTGGAATTTTTGTCTTAGGAGTACTGTATTCAATTTAAACTGAACTGTTAGTAATTTACTATTTCAGTAGCAACTCTTTTAGCAAATTACTACCGTGTTTCCCTGAAAATAAGACATCCTCTGAAAATAAGACCTACTTACAGGTTTCCTTCTGAGTGAAATATAAGGCATCCCCCTGAAAATAAGCCTCCCCCTCCCCCCAGGCTAAACATGAGAGATTTGGTCCACTGATTCTGAAAGAAATGGAGTCACAAGAAATTCACCAGGAAATTCAGGAATTGGATTGTTATGATGATGTTCCAAAAGATGATGACATGATTGTCATTGAATAAATGAGTAAATTCTTGATACTGTAGGATTCACAGTTTGTCTGGTTTGTGTTGACAACTACTGTACTACCGTATCATATACAGGTAATAAATTTCCTTTATTTTCATTTAACAATAAATATGTACCATATTCTTCTTCATGGAAAAATAAGAGATTCCCTGAAAATAAGACCTAGGACATCTTTGGGAGCAAAAATTAATATAAGACACTGTCTTATTTTCGGAGAAACAGGGTAGGTCTTTGGGGGCAGTGAACAATATCTAATCCTCTCCTCACAGAATTGTTGGGCATATAAGTGTTACATAGACATACTTGTTGACCTGGATATGAAAGTAAGCCACTTTATTCACGGAGGAATCTAATATTTTGTAATGTTTGTTTTTTGCAGGTGAACCAGAGTTCTTCATTATGTCTGATGGAGACTATGATTACCTCATCAAGTTTTTAGCTTTGGGAGATTCTGGAGTCGGGAAGACCAGTGTACTTTACCAGTACACAGATGGTAAATTCAACTCCAAGTTTATTACAACAGTGGGTATCGATTTCAGGGAAAAGAGAGTGGTAAGTTCTATGTCCTCCCATCTAAAATGTAATCTCTAAAAAAAGTAAAAATAAAAAAAAGGTAAAAATGTAATCTCTGAGACCATATGTGCCTGTCTGTTTAGTTTACTTTGTAGGAATTAGAAGAACAAAGGTTGGAATCTAAAATTAAAGGATACAGCCCTGGCCACTGTGGTTCAGTTGCTTGGGCATCATACCATACACCAAAAGGTTGCTGGGTTTGATTTCCAGCCCAGGCGTATGCCCGTTGCAGGCTAAATCCCCAGTAGGGGGCATTCAGGAGGCAGCCAATTGATGTTATCACTCACATAGATATTTCTGTCTCTCCCTTTCCTTTCCTCTCTCTCTAAAAATCAATTAAAATCTTTTAAAAAATCAACTTAAGGCATACATATGAAAGTGTATTATAGCCGAAACCGGTTTGGCTCAATGGATAGAGCGTCGGCTTGGGGACTGAAAGGTCCCGGTTTCGATTCCGGTCAAGGGCATGTACCTTGGTTGTGGGCACATCCCCAGTAAGGGGTGTGCAAGAGGCAGCTGATCGATGACTCTTTTTCATCGATGTTTCTAACTCTCTATCTCTCTCCCTTCCTCTTTACAAAATCAATAAAATATATTTTAAAAAAAAGAAAAAAGAAAGTGTATTATTATTTAATCCTGGCAATGTGACTTAAAAGGCTGTGCTGAAGGACACTTTATATATAATTAAGTAGACAAAGTGAAGCTTCTTTTTAATTTTTCTTCGATACCTTTTTGGCTTGTATCTTCCCTCTGAAGTCCACTAAGTTATTGCTCTGAAGCCTACAAAACATCCTTGTACCCCTATTATTGCCCCTTGTACCCCTATTTTATCTGTTATATTTTCCACCTTTGATGTCATTCTTAATGGCTTTTCTCTTAAGTAAGGCCTCAGCAATCCCACATGGACTCTAAGTGGCAGAACTGGCCGCTGACAGGAGGTGTGGTTGGAATAGGAATGCTGGTAGTGTGTGTTGATCTGGGAAGTAACAAGGGAAACATAAGTTCTGCAGGATGATGAGGGGAGAGGCTCTTTTTAAAAAACACATGCATACATTTTTGTTGATTTCAGAGAGGAAGGGAGAGGGAAAGAGAGAGAGAAACATCTATGGTGAGAAAGAATAATCAATTGGTTGTCTCCTGCACACCTCCTACTGAGGATCAAGCCCACAACCCAGATATGTAGTCTTGACTAGAATCGAACCCTTTAGTCCACAGGCTGACACTCTATCCACTGAGCCAAATCAGCTAGGGCAGTGGTCGGCAAACTCATTAGTCAATAGAGCCAAATATCAACAGTACAACGATTAAGATTTTTTTTTGAGAGCCAAATTTTTTAAACTTAAACTTGTTTTAATGCCACTTCTTTAAAATAGACTCACCCAGGCCGTGGTGTTTTGTGAAAGAGCCACACTCAAGGGGCCAAAGTGCCGCATGTGGCTCACAAGCCGCAGTTTGCCAACTATAGAGCTGGGACAAGAGGCTCTTTTTTTTGTTTTGTTTTTTATTTTTAAAGGACCACACAACCAAAAAATATTGGTGGTGGAGGAGAAGGCAGGAGGTCACTGTGTCAAGAGTTGCACATGAAGATGGCTTTTTCCATGAACGATGTTTCTTGCTAAAAAGTTGACTGTTACCATGAAGCCAGTCAGGAAGTGGTCGGGAGATCAATGACAAAGACCCTGTCATGGAACATGTTGTACCTGGGAAAGATGCAGAGCCCCTGTCTCCCAGACAGAAGCATTCATTTCCTTCTACCTGCCATAGGTGTTTTCTTCCATTACCAGAGAATCTTCTAGAGACTCAGATCCACTGAGTAATAATAGGATCTTTATGAAAGTTTCAATATTGACATATAATTGTTAGAATTAATATATATGTGATTATGTTTATTTATTAGTTTCCATTTTATAACCTTGTTTTTTAAAAAATAGCTTTCTTGTGATATAATTCACTTAACATTATCTTCACCCATTTAAAGTATATAATTTAGTGGTTTTTAGTCTATTTACAGTTGTGCAACTATCACCCCTATTTAATTTTAAAGCACTTTATCACCCCAGAAAGAAACCTCATACTCTTTTGCAGTCATTCTCCATTCTCCCCAACCCCCACCCTCTCCCACCACTAGTCTATTCTAGAAGGATCTGCCTATTCTCTGGATATATAATATAAATGGAATCATACAATAGGTGGCCTTTTGTGTCTTGCTTCTTTCACTTAGCTTATATTCTAAGATCATTCATGTTGTACATGTATCAGAACTTTATTCTGTTTTATGATCAAATCACATTTCATTGTGTTGATATACGTACAACACATTTTTTTAATCCATTCATATATTGGTGGACATTTGGATTTCACCTTTATGCATAATGTTTCTATTAACATTCATATATTTTTTTGTGTGCATGGACTTGTTATCATATCTCTATGTGAGGACATATGTTTTTAAATATCTTATGAATATGTCTAGGAACTTCCAAAATTTCCCAAAGATGCTGCACCATTTTACATTTCCAGAAACGTAAGAGTGTTCCAATTTCTCCATATTCTCACCAACTTTTGTTATTATCTATTTGATGATAGCCATTCTAGTGGGTGTGAAATGGTATCTCATTGTAGGTTTGACTTAAATTTCTTTAATGAATGTTGTTGAGCAATCATCTTTTCATGTGCTTTATTTGTATATTGTCTTTGGAGAAATGTCTAATCAGGTTCTTTATCTATTTCTTTAAATATACTTTTTATTGCCTTTATCTGTTTTGAAGTTGTTTGTCTTTTTGTTAAATTTTAAGAGTTTTAAGTATAGTCTAGATAAGTGTTTTTATTAGATATATGATATGCAAATAGTTTTAGCTCTTACATTTAGAAGTATGATCCATTTTGAGCTATTTTTTTGTGCATAGTGTGAATAGGGATCCAACTTCATTCTTTTGTGTATGGATAGCCTGTTACCCCAGCATAATTTGTTGAAAAGACTATTTTATCTCCCATTGAGTGGTCTTGACACTCTTATTGAAAATCAGTTGACAATAAATGTAAGGTTTATTTTGGAACTCTCAATTTGATTCTACTTATATGTCTATTCTTATGCCAGTATTATACTATCTTGATTACTGTAGCTTTGTGGTAACTTTTGAAATTGGAAAGTATGAGTCTTCATTTTTTCAAGGTTGTTTTGAATTCCTTGCAATTCAAAATGAATTTTAAGGTCAGTTTGTCACTTTCTACAGGGAAGCTAATTGAGATTTTGATAGGGCTTGCATTGAATCTACACATCAATTTGGGGAGTATTTTTATCTTAACAACATTAAATCTTTTGACTCATGGACATAGAATATCTTTTATTTAGATCTTCAATTTCTTTTGATAGTGTTCTGTAGTTTTCAGAGTATGTGTTACATTTTTTTGGTTAAATTTATCTTTAAATATCTTAATCTTTTTCATGCTATTGTAAATTCAATTATTTTCTTAATTTTATTTTTGAATTGTTTGTTGCCAGTATATAGAAATACAATTTATTTTGTATATTAATCTTTTTTTTTTTTTTTTTTTTTAATAAGTTTTTATTGTTCATATTATTACAAATGTTCCTTCCCCCCCCACCATTGCTCTCGTCCACCAGGTTCCCACCCCACCCTCTGCCCTTTCCCCACTCCCCATTGTCCTCATCCATAGGTGCACAGTTTATGTTCAGTCTCTTCCCACATCCTCCTCTCCCCTTTTCCCCAAGAATTGTCAGTTCACTCCCCTTCCATACCTCTGATTCTATTATATTCAACAGTTAATATTGTTATCAGATTTTTTTTTTAATTTCCTTGGTTTTTAGATTCACTTGTTGATAGTTAAGTATTTGTTGTTCATAATTTTTATCTTTGTTTACTTTCTCTTCTGAAAGAACTCCCTTCAGCAACTCATATAATTCTGGTTTGGTGTTGATGAACTCCTTTAGCTTTTTTTTATTAGTGAAGCTCTTTATCTGACCTTCGATTCTGAGTGATAGCTTTGCTGGATAGATTATCTTTGGCTGTAGGTTCTTACTATTCATCACCTTGAATATTTCTTGCCATTCCCGTCTGGCCTGCATGGTTTCTGTTGAGAAGTCAGCTGACAATCGTATAGGTGATCCTTTATAGGTAACTACCTTCTTTGCTCTTGCTTCTTTTAATATTCTCTCTTTGTCTTTTGCTCTTGGAATTTTAATTATGATTTGTCTTGGTGTGGTCCTCTTTGGATTCCTTTTGTTTGGAGTTCTGTGCGCTTCCTGGACTTGTAAGTCTAATTCTTTCCCCAGGTGGGGGAAGTTTTCTGTCACTATTTCTTTCAGTATGTTTTCGATATCTTGCTCTCTCTCATCTTCTGGGACCCCCATAATTCTGATGTTGGTTCGCTTGAAGTTGTCCCAGAGGTTTCTTACATTATCTTCAATTTTCTGGATTCTCTTGCCTTCTAGCTTCTGTGGAGGAGTGTCTTCTGGCTCTTTATGTTCCAAATCTTTGACTTGATTCTTGCGATCTTCCCTTCTGTTTTTAGGACTCTGTAAAATATTTTTTATTTCAGACAATGTATTCTTTATTTCTTGTTGTTCCCTTATCATTTCTTGATGACTCCTTATTAATTCTAGTTGATTTCTTTTCATGTCCTCATAGGTCTTATCCATCTTTTCTAGGAAATTCTTGAAAAACCTTATAAGCGTAGATTTGAACTCTATATCCAGTCGCTTTTTGTCCTCCATTTCTTTCATTTGTGATCTATTTGGTTTAGGCATTTTCGCAGGCAGCTTTCCTGATGGGGTGGGGTTTCAGGGTGGAGCCTACAGCTTTGGCTTCCGTCAGCCCCGCCCTATGCGACTCCTGAGACTCAGGGTCCTTCAGTACTTGTTGTAAGCGCCTCTGAGAGAAAGGCGCCCTCGATTTTCGCCTGCTGCCGAACAGTCAATGCTCTCCCCCAATGAGCCCGGTATTGGGGTTCAGTTCAGTTGGAAGTGGAGTTGGAGGTGGCGTTCAGAGCAGACTGGAGCCCCTGTCTCCTTCCCGCCAGGCAATCCCGCGGCACAGCCGGCCGTCCCTTCTCTGCGCGCACTGGGCGCCACCGCGCCGGGACCTCCTTTGGCAGTTTCCCCGGGTTCCGCCTCGCAGCCCAGCTCCCTCTGGCTGAGCCTGAGTCCCCGGGGTCTGGCCTAGGCCTGGGGTTCAGAGCAGTCGGGGGCCCAGCACAGTCGGAGTTTTTTCTCCTTCCCGCCAGGGAACGCCCGCCAGGCACTCCGCCTCCCTCCTCTCCAGCTCCGTCCTCTCTGCGCGCCGCGCGTCTCCGTACCTTGGGCTTTTCCAGCTCCTCCGCGCTTCCTTCTGGTTATCTCCTTGCTTCTCGTTGTAGAATTTCCAGTCAGTCAACTTTCCTGTAGTTCTGGGTGATGTCCATTTTATATTTTAGTTGTATTTTATTGAAATTGTTGTGTGAGGCTGCAGCTAGGTATTCACCTGGGCGCAGCCATCTTGGAGGACCTTATTTTGTATATTAATCTTGAATACTGGAGTATTGTTGAATTTGTTCATTCCAAGTGTGTGTGTGTGTCTGCATGTGTGTATTTATTCTTTAGGATTTTCAATATGAGATCACAATCACCTTCTATTTACTTCTTCCTTTCCAATTTGGATATGTTTTATTTCTTTTTCTTACCTAATTGCCCTGATGAGAACCTCCTGTAAAATGTTGAATAGAAGTGATGAGAGAGGACATCCTTGTCTTTGGTCTTAGGGAGAAAACATTCTAACAGTCAAGTACCAGTAGACTATAAACTATGCATTTCTCAGAGCCGCTGTTTTTCAGGTTGAGGATGTTCACTTCTATTCCTAATTTGTTCAGGGCTTTTATCATGAAAGTTCCTGGATTTGTTCAGAGAGTTTATCTGCATCTATTGATATGATATTGTGGTTTTATTATTATGGTGTATTACAGTGATTGATTTTTGTATGTTACACAACCTTGCTGTTCTTTGCACTATTACTGTCATACAAATTACATCTTTATACACTGTGTACCCACCAACACAGATTTATAATTATTACTTTATGCTGTTGTGTTTTGATTAGATGAAAGAAAGGATTTACAAAAATACATTTATACTGTCTTTTATAGCTCCTTTGCTGATACTCTTGGTTGATAGTCTTTTTTCTTTTAGCACTTTGAATATGTCATCCTACTGCCTTTGACCTTGATTGTTTTAGATGACAAGCTCTTAGTCTTATTGAAATCCCTTGTATGTAATGTATCACTTTTCACTTGCTGCTTTTAAGATTCTCTCTTTGTCTTTGGATTTTGACAGTTTAATGATTGTGTGTCTAGTTTTTATAATTTTATCTTTCTTGGAGTTCACTGAAATTTTGAATATACAGAGGAATGTTTTTCAACAAATTTGGGAATTTTTTTGGCTATTATTCTTCAAATATGTTTTCTCTCTTTTTCACTCTTTCCTCTTCCTATAGGATTTCCAGTATGCATATGTTGGTATGTTTGATGGTGTTTCATAGATTTCTGAAAATTTTCATTTTTCTTCATTCTTTTTTCCTTCTATGCCTTATAGTAGATAATCTCAATTGACCTATCTTCAAATTCGGTGGTTATTTATTCTGCCAGTTTAGGTCTGCTCTTGAGCTCTTCTGATGAATACTGAATTGTACTTCTATATAATAGAATATCTATAATATTCTATTTTTATATCTATATCTTTATTGATCTTCTGTATTCAGTAGGACATTATTCTCATACTTTAATTTTTCAGACATGATTTTATTTAGTTCTTTGAACAGTTTTATAATTGCTTATTTAAAGTCTTTGTCTAACAAGTTCAACATCTGGGCTTCCTCAAGAATAGTTTCTATAGGTTGCTTTCCCCCCAGTATTTGGGCCATACTTTCTTGTTTCTTTGTATGTCTCATGACTTTTGTTGAAAACTAGATATTTGAAATAATAAAATGTGGTAACTCTGGAAATCAGATTCCTTCCCCCTCTGAGTGTTTCTCTTTTTTTGCTATTTATTTATTTATTTATTTATTTATTTATTTATTTATTTATTTATTTATTTTGCTATTTGCTTATTTAGTGACATAACTGGGCTAATTCTATAAAGTGTATTCTTTGTGCAGCTCCTGAAGTCTTTGCTCAGTTAACTTAGTGATCAGCTAATGAGTGGATAGAGCATTTCTTAAATTCCTTAAACCAGAACGTCCTCTTTTCTGAGGGATTGTATATTTGTGTATGTTTGTGTGTGTGCTGTGACATGTGCTTAATACTATAGTAGATGGTTTAGCCTTCACTTCATGATTTAGAAGAGCCTTAAGGTCAGCCAGAGGTGTGAGCTTAGGGCTTTTTCAGGTCTTTCCTGGGCATATGTATAGCCCTAAACATGAACATGGCTTAATAGATAACAAGCCATTTTTCAAATCTCTGTATAGACATCCAATTTCCTGTTTTTTTCTTTTTTAGTCTTTTTGGTTAGATTTTTTGTTAGCCCCAACTGGTATTTTTTGCCTTCAGTAGCTGTGATGTTAAATAGTTGATGCTGATTATTTTCAATAATACCCTAGGGATAGGGTTATTCTCACAGAGCAAGCTCTGAGTCAGGTAAAATAAAGACCAGACCTGGGATTGGAGCTTGACACACAGCTTTCAGTTCTCTGGGGATGAGATTTTAGGGGCAGCTCCAAACCAGTTTGCCGTGGCTGCTATACTGATCATAGTTATGCATATGTTGGTTTTTTAGGACTACTGGGAGCCAAGAAGGGGGAGATGAGAATAGGATAATTTAAAATAGCACAAAGCTTACTATTTTTACTGATATTTGGAGTTCTAAAAAAGTTGATTTGACAGTTTGTGCCAATGTTTTCATTGCTTTTATGGAGAGAGTTTCAGAGATATTTCCTATAAAATTGTTTTAAGGATATTTTTTAAGATAGGATGGGAAAAGTCACAGAAAGGTTTTATTTCTTGAAATGCATGACCTGAGGGTTCTTTGAGGAAAAGTGAGCTAATTACTGTCTTAGAGAAATTATATATTATTTATAGATTTCATAATATATTTATAAAAGTATATAATGTATATATACGTGGTAGCACAAATTATTGTATTATCTACAGAGAACTATTTGAAATAAAAGACAAACAAGGTTATATTCCAAATGGGATTTTCTTTAGAGGTTTATGCTATAGCTGTACTGAATAGGGAAGTAAGAAGAGTTTGCTGGTCTCAGTAAGTTCTCTCTTCCTCTTTGACTTCGCTCGTGTAGGTATACAGAGCCCATGGGCCGGATGGAGCCGTTGGCAGAGGCCAGAGAATCCACCTGCAGTTATGGGACACAGCAGGGCAGGAGAGGTATGTGGTCTGCAGTTATGCACATGCTTCTTACTGGAGGAAAGGGAAAAGCAGCTACACTTTTCATAGAGTGACCGGAGCAGGAAAAAGCCAGCTGATGAGTCCATTTGCACCTGGACAAGCCATACTGCCAAATCAGCTGGACATTTATCAGTCTGAGTTGAGAATGGTGGCTTTATTTCTTTAATTCATACAAAGTCAAAGGAAAAAAAAAATGAATCTTTTTCAAAATGGATCAACCTTACTTATGGTCTCTTTTTTATTTTCTTCATTTTTAAAAGGTTTACACACTTTTCTCCATTGAACCTTTGCTATTTACTCAACCACCCAAAAGCCACAGAGTTATAAAGGGGAGAACAAAACCAAGTTTACAGATATTCGTATGGGGAAAATATACAAGTATTAATAAATAATAATACAAAAAATAAACTTCTGTGTACTCACAATTGTAAACCTACTTTTGCCCACCCTTGTCTGTATTATTCTTGAAAACCGAGTGGAAAATCTGGTTGGAATTAATCCATGTGGTCAGATGTTGCTTAACCCAAATCAGTCACATGGAATCTTGATGTAAAATTGCTTTTAGTTAGCTAAGGTTTCAGGTTTTTTCTCTCAGATCCTTTGAAGACTTTTAAAAAACTTTTCATTATGGAAAACTTCAAGTATATAATGAACTCATGTGTTCATTTCCCAGTTTCAACAGGCATCAAGTTGCGGCTGGTCTTATTTTAAATATGCCCCTCATTCCTACTCACTTCCTTTCCCAAATTATTTTTAAGCAAATTCCAAATATCCAATTATTCATAACAATTTTGATATGTGTCTCTAAAGATAAGGACTATTTTTGCAAAAACATTAATTAAAAATAGTTGAGAAAGCTTAGAAGGTTAGATGACGAATTCACACCAGTATTTTCTTCCTTGGAGCCTGTGTCTGTCCATTGTGGGCAAAGCAAGGAGAAACTGACTGTTGGAGGGAGAGAGGGACACAGCAGGATAAAGCCTTGGAAGAGAGAGAGTACCAAAGAAGAAGAGGTGCTGAGTCATTACTACTCCCACCTTAACGCCTGAGATTGAAATCAAAAGGTCATGAAACACATTGTAAGGTCAAGTCAAGCCAACCTTCACAGGACAAGGAAAACATGCATAACAAGCTCCATTGTTTGGGTCTAATTAACTCCTGGTTGGACAATGAATTTTTGGGTGATACTAAAGGATCATGAACTAGTTCTGTCATCCCTGTCCAGCAGGCTGGGTTTTTGAATCCCATGGTCTGTTAACACATAAACTTATAGAAGTGATAAATAACTGTCTTATATGCTTTTGGAATAGCAGCATCTGATTTGTTTAATTTTTCCCCCCATTGATACAGGCTATTTTTATTTTAAAAGAACATTCCAAGTATAACTTTTGATAATTGTTGGCATTTAAAAAAATCTGAATATATTTCAAATATTCTTGCTCTAGGTAGCTATTTATTATATTTTGTAAGATACCTAATATTGTTTATACTCATAACTTTATGCTATTAAATTGTCATTTATAATCACATTCTCCACTAAATCTAGTGTAATGAAGAGCAATAATATTCATGTATAATGTAAAGTTATTATAAACAGTGGCACATTATTAAACATCTATTTTGTTATTGATAAACTGTGGTGAGAGGCTGAGGGTACCGGTGGTAGCTTTATGTTTCAGGAGTGGGGCCATGTTTAGGTGATCCATCTGCTTTTATATCCCTAGGTTTCGGAGCTTGACAACAGCATTCTTCAGAGATGCTATGGGGTTTCTTCTGCTTTTTGATCTGACAAATGAACAAAGTTTCCTCAATGTCAGGAACTGGATAAGTAAGTGTTATTGTCTCCCTGCCTCCCACTCCCTACAATAAAATGCCTTCTTACATTCTACTTTTATTGTAAATTGATTTGGGAGAAATCCTAGTGCTGTTTAAAATGCTATATAAAGGAGTATGGCTATTAGTTTAGGGGCAAAGATAACTGAAATACTCTGCTTTTTCTAGTAATACTGACTTTGGTTTGTTGAGTGCTTCCCATGCTCCAGGTAGAAGGTCCTGCTTTCCATGCAATCTCTTAATCAGTCTTTTCCACAGAGGAGACTCATCCCCCTTTCATAGAAAAGGATACACCAGCCTAGAGGGGTAGAATCACTAAGTATCACTTTGCCTGTTGTGTGCTATCAAGTCTTGTATCATCCCAGGGTTTAAAACATATATCACACAGATTACATACAGACCTTTTGAAGGCTTCATGGATTAGACCCCTGGCTGCATGTCTCTAATATGCTGAGAGCCCCCTCTCTGTTTTGAGGGACAGGCATTTACCTGAAGGACTCTAAAACTCCATTGGCAAAAGTGGTCCCAGCACTGTCTGTCTGTCTGTCTGTCTGTCTATCTCTCTCTCTCTCTCTCTCTCTCTCTCTCTCTCTCTCTATCTATCTATCTATACAAACATATATGTATATACTAGAGACCTGGTGCATGAAAATTCATGCACTGGATTGGGGGGGGGGTGTTCCTCAGCCTGGCCTGCCCCTTTTCACAGTCCAGGAGCCCTCAGGGGTGGGAGATGACCAGTGATCAGGGGAAGGCGACCTCTCCATCACACCTCTGCTGCTGCCACTGCCGGCAGCATGAACCCCGGCCGGCCCTGGTTACCTGAGCCTCTGGTGGCCCTGGGTGGCTGGGCAGCCGACATCGGAGGCTTGCTGTGGCTGGGGATCTGAGGGGACTGGGGATTCTGGAGGCAGGTCTGCAGAGTGGCCAGACCCTCCTGGGGGTGGGCCCAGCTCTGCAGTATGCCTGCCACCCCGGTGGGGCTGAGGGACTGGTCACCGCCATCTTGTGGTTGTGGTCGCTGCCATCTTTGAGGGCATGGCAGTCAATTAGCATATTCCCTCCTTATGTGGGTGCCGCCATCTTTTGTGAGGGTGTGATGGTCAATTAGCATATTTCCTCTTTATTAGATAGGATATATCCTCATTTTGACTTTTTGAAGAGATCATAATCTAAAATCCTGCTACTGAACCAAATAACAGCTTGAGAATATACATTTACCTCCATTAGCTGTATTAATATAAACCTAGAAAATCTATTGGGAAAGACTCTGATGTTAAATTTTTAGTACCCAAATCTTTATAATGAAAACACTTAAAAATTACCTCCTATTTCAAAATTACTTGGTAATTTGTTAGTGTTGGCTGTGGGTTCTTTGTTTTGTTTTGTTTTCAAATCCTCACTCGAGGATATTTTTCCATTGATTTTTAGAGAGAGAGGAAGAGAGAGAAAAAAGCAAAGAGAAATATTGATGTGAGAGAAACACACCAATTGGTTGCCTCCTGCACATGCCCTAACCAGGGCCTGGGTAGGGGAGGAGCCTGGAACTGAGGTACATGCCCTTGACCAGAATCGAACCCGGGACTATTCAGTCCACAGGTCGATTCTCTATCTACTGAGCCACACCGGCTAGGGCATTGGCTATGGTTTTCATAATAGAAAACCTTAGTTTTGTTTCTTAATTTTATTATTGTACTAGAGGCCCGATGCACAAAATTCATGCAAGAGTAGGCCTTCTTTCCCCCAGCTGCTGGCACCGGCTTCCCTCTGGCACCCGGACCTGGGCTTCCCTCAGAGCCCTGGCTCATCTGGAAGGTTGTCTGGAAGGACGTCTAGTCCAATTAGCATATCACACTTTTATTATTATAGATTAGAGTTTACATTTAATATTATTTTGTATTAGTTTCAGGTATACAGCATAGTGGGTAGACAGTCATATACTTTACATAGTGTTCCGCCTGGTATTTCCAGCACTGAATTGGCACTGTACATAAGTATTACAATACTAGAAGCCCGGTGCACAAAATTCGAGCACTTGAGTGTGTTTCTCAGACCGACCAGCTCCCTCTCACAGTCTGAGAGCCCTCAAAGCCCAGGTGGAGAGGGCCTAAGCCATCAGTCAGACATTAATTTCATTGCTACTTCATAACTGTAATTTTGCTACTGTTATGAATCATAATGTAAATATCTGTGTTTTCTGATGGTCTTAGGCTCTACAGCAGTGATTCTCAACCGCTAGCAGGGTCACCTAAGACCATCGGAAAACAGAGATATTTACATTACGATTCATAACAGTAGCAAAATTATAATAATAAAGAAGCAACAAAAATAATTTTATGGTTGGGGGTCACCACAACCTGAGGAACTGTATTAAAGGGTCACAGCATTAGAAAGGTTGAGAACCACTGCTCTAGCTCACCTGTGCTGTTGCAAATGGTAAGATTTCATTCTTCATTTTAATGGCCCAATAATGTGTGTGTGTGTGTGTGTGTGTGTGTGTGTGTGTGTGTGTGACATCTTCTTTACCCACTCATCTACTGATGGGCACTTGAGTTGCTTCCATATTTTGACTATATAATAAAAGCCCACGCGACCATATGGTAGAACTACCAGAATGACTGGTCTCTATGATGCATACTGACCATCAAGGGGCAGAAGCTCAATGGAGGAGCTGCCCCCTGGTGGTCAGTGTGCTCCCACAAGGGAGCGCTGCTCAGCCGAATCTGGGCTGACAGCTGGAGAGCACAGCTGCCACGGTGGGAGCCTTTCACCAGCAGGCGCAGAGGGCTGGGATGAGCGTGCGTGGCATGGCACCCCGCCCCAATTCAGGCTCCTCCCTGGTTGCCTGCAGCTTGGTGCACTGCTACATCCCCTGTGGGGTCCCAGACTGTGAGAGGGATGTCAGCTGCTGCAGGATTAGGCCTAAGCCAGCAGTAGGACATCCCCTGAGGGGTCCCAATATTGCAAGAAGGTGCAGGCCAGGCCGAGGGACTCTCCCCCAGGGCAAAAAGTTCATGCACAAGGCCTCTAGTTATAAGTAATAAAAAATTCCTCACTGAAAAAGCCCACCTTGAGTCCTTTAAAATCTCCGACTCCCTGTTGCTGGGTGTTGGCACCATTTTGGGGCTCAGCCCATCTGGTTCCAGGTCATCTAATAAATTTATAATTCTTGACCACGTTTGGTCTCGTGCTTTCCTCCTTCAGTAAGTACATTCTTTAACAGTAAGTACATTATTATCAGCATCTACATGTGGAAACAGAGGCATAGGTCAGTCAGATTAGGTTCCCAGAGTGGCACCGCTAGTAAATGGCAGAGCCAGGCTCCCACCGGAGACACCCTGGATCCTGAGTTCATGCTTAGAACCATGACACTGGACATGTACGGTGTTAACAGAGCACAGAGCCACTCTGGAGACCAGAAGGATTTCACAGCAGAGGTAACTAAGAAGCAAGTCTTAGAGGAAGGGTGGGGAGTCCCTGAGGAAGGTTGCGGTTGGGTACTCAGGGGTGTGGGGACAGCGTGGGTAACAGCCCCGGGGAAAGAAAGGTCACGGCTGTTGTTGGGAGCTATACAGTTTAGTCTTGCCTGCAGAGTTCTTATTTTCCTGCTTGTCCCTTTAGGGCAAAGGTCATTGTTCTGAAATTCTACACCAAGTGTCAAGCTGAAATTAATGCTTGTTGCCTTGACTTATCATGTTCGATAAGATAAAATGAACAAGACTTTGTAATGAGGAACTAAAATGTCAACACTTTCTGGTTAACCATGTGAAAAAGAAATTAGGCCATACATTTTGTGAAAGCTCGGGCTGTTTTAATTTCATTATGGGGTGTGACAAGAAGTAAGACTTTATTTTCCTTCTTTGGGAGATTAAACTACTCAGTTTAGTGCAGTTTTTTTTGTTTGATTTAAAATTATGCCTATTCATAGCTTTCCCAGTGAAAAGAACTAAAAGCTGTGGTGTAAGAATTGTAGTCTCCTGCTTTTTTTTTTTTGGTTCTGGTGACTGAATCATTGACTTTTTCTTCTGGGTTTTTCTCTCTGCATTTAATCCTGTATTGTGTGTTAAGTGAATTGATGCTACCTTAGAATAATAGAGAAATATGAAAACCATTTCAGATAGAAAGAGATTAGTTAATAGGAAGACAACTCTTAAAATTGTGATTGCTGTGGAGAGGAAATAGGTAAAAACAAAACAAAACAAAACAAAAAAAAAACAGTTTTAAAATGAACTATAAGTACCCTGGCTGGGTAGCTCAGTTGGTGAGAGCATCGCCCTGACACACCAAGGTTGTGTGTTCGATTCCCAGTCAGGGCACAAAAAAGAGTCAACCAGTGAATACTTAAATAAGTAGAACAATAAATCAATATTTATTTCTCTCTCTCAAAAAAAAAAAAAAAATGAGTAGCAATAAGCCCTAGGAAATTCTCCAAGTTTTTTTCAAATGACCTTCATAAAAAGACTGCCACCTGTTTTGTGTATGTGTGTGTGTGTATGCACATGTGGGTGCACGTTCGCACATGCACACGTTGGGGGCTTATTTTTCCCTTTTCCTCTCTGACATACATAAGCTGGGGTCTGTGTTTGAGGGCAGGAATAGTTTCACCTCTCTGCCTCATCCATTCAGTTTGACAGGAGGGTGCTGATGCTTTGAAAACACTGTATCGGGTACTTTTGCATGTATTGTCCATTGATCATGCACTTACATTATTGTTCACCTATAATTTTCTATCTTCTTACATTAACAGGCCAGCTACAAATGCATGCATATTGTGAAAACCCGGACATAGTGTTATGTGGGAATAAGAGTGATCTGGAAGACCAACGAGCAGTGAAAGAGGAGGAGGCCAGAGGACTTGCAGAGAAATATGGGTGAGTATTTTTGTGGAGAAATCTAGAGTAAACATGTCCAATTTAAACACTAGCATATGAATAAATAACAAAAAAAGATAAAAGCAAAAAACAGAACAAAGCATTCAGCTGTAGGCCTTGGGAGATATCAAATATCTAGTTTGCATGATCATCCTATATAATAAAACCCTAATTTGCTAATCTACCGAACAGCAGAACAACTAGTTGCTATGATGCACACTGACCACTATGGGGCAGATGCTCAATTCAAGAGCTGCCCCCTGGTGGTCAGTGCCTCCCACAAGGGGAGCACCATTCATCCAGAATGGTGGGCTCATGGTTGGTGAGCATAGTGGCAGGGAGCGGGCCTAAGCCAGCAGGCGGACATCCCCCAGGGGGTTCTGGACTGTGAGAGGGCGCAGGCCAAGCTGAGAGACCCTCCTCCAGTGCACAAATGCCATGCACTGGGCCTCTAGCATTATATAATCGTGGGACCATAGAAAAAGCATTGGAGAAGGGCCTTTGTTCAGTTCTTTTGTCTCACTTTTTCTAATCTCTTGGTGTTTGAAGAAAAATAGCGTTGAGGGTAAATGTCCTAATGTTGTAAGGCCTCCTTTACAAGATGCAAGTAGGTGATTCCTGGAATAAGGACATCCTTTATATTCCACAAGGACATTTCAAAGCCAGTTCATCTGCTGCCGTAGAGAGCTCCAGTGTACACCAGGGCCTTCTTGGCTTTGAACTTTCTGTGCTGGGAGAGGAGTGTGAAGATTCCCCTGTGGTTTAGGCTGTGCTTTTGTGGTGGAGAATCAACTAAAACTGTCTTCCTTCTTGAGCTCTGGGAAGAGGATCCTATAGCAGCAGCATTCATTGGACATAAAAGGAGGGGTCAGCCACTTTTGATTAAAGTGTCAAGGGCACCCCTACACAGGAATTTGTACTTTACTTTTTTTCTGCCTCAAAAAAATGAGCACTCAAATGTATGTGTATTAATTATCTTGAACATCAGGGGGAGGCAGCCAGTGGGGCTGGGAAGGAAGGGGTGGGAGAGGAGGAGTGTGTGGTGTGGAGGAGGGTAGTATAGAGGGATGTTACCTGGTGAGTGGTCTTGGTTAGAAACCAAAGAGGCCAGAGGAGGCCCTTTCCCTTCTTGTTGTTTGAACACAGCTGTGCTCTTCCTGGGGCTGATGGAGGTTCAGAAAGCACGCGAGGATGGGATTCACACTGAGAAGAGAGTGCAAGGATAGGTCGCCCCGTGGGAAGAGGCCAGAGGCCGCAGAGCTCTGAATATCACTCCAGGAGAGTGAAATTGGTTTCCTGGGGGACAGGGAGTTGCTGAGAGCCTTTGAGCTCAGAGGGATGTCATCAGCACTTTTCCAGATCAGTCAGGGGGTGGAGGTAGGGGGGCGGGGCTGCTGGCAGGAGGAGAGGGGGGATGAAACAGAAGGAGGGAAGACTGGAGGCAGGGAGATTGCAATGATCTGTGAAGTAGGGAGGGGCTGGATTTGTGGAAAAGGAAAGGGACTAAATCAGAGAAAACACACAGGGTCAGGGTCAGGCAGAACAGGATTTTAAATCTTAAATCCAGCACCAGGAAGCGGGTGGTTCCCTTCTCTAGGCGGGCTCACGCTGGGGAGGAGTTGCAGTCAGATGTGGAGGTTTTCACTCAGGGTAGGCGGTGGGGAACCGTGTTAGGAGCCCCTGAGGAGCTTTCAACAAATACTCATGTTCAGTCCTCGCCTCTGAGCTTCCGACATAATTGGTCTGGAGTGGCTTATCAGGCAGGGCTCCATGAACAAACACACTCGGGAACAGAGGGGTTTGACTTATGCTCCTGTAGGAGCTGGGTAGGCAGACTGTAGTTTTGTGTCTGATGGTCCAGAGGACAGGCAGTCAGGAAGGGAAGCTGGCTCCAAAGTGAGAGAGAGCCAGAAGCAGCTGGATCCGTACTTACGGACCCAAACCTTGTCAGTCATTGTGCCTCTGACCTGGGTGGCGTGGGCGTCCTAAGCAGCCAGGGCTCCGCTCGCAGAGCTAAACACTCACACCTGGCCCAGGCGTCGGGGAAGCTGGAGGAGGATGGAGGGGAAGATGGAGCAGGTGCAGGTCTGGCTGTTGGCCTATGCCAACGAGATGAGCCAGCAGGAAAGCAATGACGTGTGACAGCTATAGAACCGCTTCTGCTTCACTTCCATCCCCCAGATCTCCCTGCGGTCCAGCCTACCTAGGAAGGGAATTCTGGGAAATGTCATTGACATATTCAAAACCACCACAGGTGGGGGCCTGGACATTGGTATCTTTCAAAGCTCTCCATGTGATTTGCATGCGCAGGGGTTGAGATATGCTCTCTTCCTCCCTTAAAAGACACTCCTTAATGTAACTGGTGGGGTAGGGGGGTGGGGCGGGGGGAGATCAGATACCATGAGAACACAGCATTGAAGCTGGGAGCCGTGTTGCAAGGGGGTGAGAAGGAAGTAAGTGATGAAGCAATGGAAACCACGGGCCCAGACCATGCTTTTGAGAAATGTGCTCGTAAAGGCCAAAAGAGCAAAACCCAGGGCAGCCAGTGCAGTTAGCTACATCAAACGCTATATTCTCAACTTTGGGGCAGAGTCGTAATTGACTTCCTCCTCCTCCGAGCTTCTTCAGCCCTTCGCTGGTTTCCTTGGTTCATTCCACATAATGCCTGAGCCCAAGAGTGCTTTCGGACAATAAGGGGAGTCTGGGGGCGCAGGGGTTGATTTTCATCTGTGCTCAGATTACAGGTTTGGGGAGTATTTTAAAGAGAGAGGCTCACTCTAAAGTTTCTGGATTGAATAAAAATGAGGAGAGATGGGATTAGCAGATAAGGGAATTGAAACTATTGGAGGAGAATGGAAAGGGATGGAAACATCCTTTAACATTTAGGAGGTGTAGAGTGTGGTTGTGTAGTTGTGTCCTGCCTGGGAACTGAACTGTGACCTCCAGGCTCACGGGTCAATGCTCAAGCACTGAGTCACACCAGCTGGGCATGACATATCTACATGTCATTTGTATGTTGTCTGATAAATTTGTTGTTACTATTGTGCTGCCTTCTATCCTCAATCATAAAAATGGATCAGTGGTTCACAAGTGATTCTCTGAAAAAACATACATTCAGAGAATGACAGACTGGGTTTCCGAAAAACTTTGCAAACATGACATCTGTGTGTCAGGGACAGGGAAATCAGAGAATGAGAACTCCATGCAGCAGTCCAAAATGGAAAGAGCGAGCTGGATGCACGGTGATGACTATCAGGAAATTTAGTTTTAGTAGAACTGAGAATCCATTTACCCCTAATTTCCTGCAAAAAAATTTTTTTTTTGCTATAGACTTGGTTAAATTGTAATATGATGTTGTTGAGTCACTTCCTAACACAACAAAGTGATTTCTTGGTAAACCAATCAAGTTCTGCTAGAACAAGTGCAAAATAGTGCTTTGCAGTATGTTACATGGAATAATGTTGTCATTGAAGACAGAGGAGAGAACAAAACAGAGGTTTGTTCAAATGTTCAGTCCTGCCAGTAATAGCTATTATAAGTCATACTGTTGCTGAAACACTTTTGAGAATAGTTACAAAGCCCTGGCCTGTGTTTTTCAGTGGTTAGAGCATGGCCCGTGTACCCAAGGGTCAGGGGTTCAATTTCGTGGTCAAGGTCCTGTACCTGGGTTTAGGGTTTGTTTCCCCACCCTTGGGAGATGTGGGGGGCAACTCATTGATGTCGCTCTCTCACATTGATGTTTTTCTCTCCCTCTCTCCTTCCTTCTCTCCCTCCCTCCGTTTCATTCTCTCTAAAAGTCAATGGGAAAATACCCTCAGGTGAGGATGAACACACAAAGTCAGTGACAAAGATAGTAAAAGAGAGCACATTGCCTACATGCCTCTTCTAGGTGAAGCTGTTGGAGCTCAAGCTGTAGTGTGCATCAGAATCACCAGAGAGCCGTGTCCCACCATTTCTGATTTGGTTGATCTGGGTCAAAGCCCCCCAAATATACATTTGTAATTGATTTCCAGATGCTGCTGGTGGTGGTGGTTGAGGATGGCACGTTGAGAACCACTGGTATAGATGCCAAGTTACTGTCAGGTGTGCATGCTGGCAGATATGTTCCTTGACAGATAGCTGGGCAGGACACTTACGCACAGAATAGAAAGCACTTGTCTCCTGATGCCACGCATGGGTGAGGGTAACGTGCTCACTGACTTCTCATTGGAAAAGCTATGCTACAAAAAAAGGGTGTTTTTTTTTTTTTCTTACACAGTCAATTGCACCAGCTGTAATATTTTTTTTAAAATATGTTTTTACTGATTTTGTATAGAGAGGAAGGGAGAGAGATAGAGAGCTAGAAACATCAATGAGAGAGAGTCATCTATCAGCTGCCTCTTGCACAACCCCTACCGGGGATATGCCAGCAACCAAGGTACATGCCCTTGACCGGAATTGAACCCGGGACCTCTCAGTCCCCAAGCCAACGCTCTATCCATTGAGCCAAACCGGTTTCTGCACCAGCTGTAATATTGATTGGGAGGGACAATAGGGTTGGGACAGAGGGAGCACCGGCCTCAGTGGGCAGGCAAGGACTTTACTCTGGTTGCCCCTAAATTCCCTCCCACACTCTGCTTTACTTACAGAGGGTAGTCGGTGGTCATTAGGAGACTTTGTCCTTGATTCAGAGTTGAAGATAATTAAGAAAATTGTGAATATGATGAGAGCATGATAATTGAATGTACATATTTCATGTGCTGTGCCAAGAAAGAGGCAGCAACTGTGTAAAAATTGAGATCTTTGACATAGAATGCTGTATGAGTTTTTGGTGTACAATATAATAATTTGATGTGTATATATTTATTGCAAAAGAATTACCAAAATAAGTGTAGTTAACACTCATCACCACATATAGCTACAATTTTTTTTGTGTGTGTGACGGGAACTTTTACGGTTTACACTTTCAGGGGCTGCAAAATTAAAACAACTTGTTTTCCCACTGAAGGGTGTTGGCTATT